AAAGCTAAGAAATTATCTTCTGGTTCTATTTTTAGAATGTTTTTCTGTATCTACAGTACAAGAGCCTGTTTTTAAGATTCAGTCTCTGGTAATGCTTCTTCTTATTGTTTTATTGTTAAATACAAGAACAATCTATTTTTATGGCATTTCTATTTAATTAAAAGCATGGACTTATGTTTGATTCTAAAATTCCTCATTTATTTCACTCTTTTTCCTCAATTTTGTTTTACAAAATCTAAGAACCTTGACTTTTTTAGTTTTGGCTAAGTTCAGCATGAATAGCCCCATCAGACTGTGTTCAAGGTAAATGTGGTGATAAATTCAGTAAATCCCCTGTATCTGCATAAACAACCCCTTGAACAAAACTATAAAGGAATTCAGATCATTACAGACATAAAAGTTGAGAGTTGATGAAGGTATATGTACAAATTAAAGAAAAGTCATTCCGTATTTGTGTCAGGAATTAACAACATTATCTTTGCTTCCCTATAGTCTGATAGATTTGCAAGTTAACCAAGGCTTTCCCATTAAAATAATATAAGTTATTGAATGATTTGAAGAGCAATACAGGATATATTCTGCTCGAGAATTCCGTATTGGAACGAGACGAAGTCGAGACAGAATATATCCTGTATTGCACTTCAAATCATTCAATAACGTTTTTATCATGTGATCCTCTGTATTGCTACTGAGATTGTCCCCTCCGTACCAATATTTTCTGTATTGCGACGGAGACGATCAACGGGGACAATCTCAGTAGCAATACAGGTTGGTACAGCACAAGAACTGACCAATCAGAGGGCTTCATTTTACAGATCATACGATAACAAAATATATTGTATATGAAATCTATTGTATAGGCCCTGGGCCCTAGGAGACATCGTGAATATTACATCTATCAATATATCATAGATAACTACATTGAGGCACAGCCTAGCGCCAAGGCTCTCTTAAAATGTGAATTCTGACTATTTTAAAGGGTAGTTGATTTATGATTGACTCTTGAGTCAGCTTTTGATGTTCGTTGGACTGATATCTGTGGAAATGTTTCTATTTAAAAGGGTAGTTGATATATGATTGACTATAAGCCAGCTATTGATGTTCGTTGGACTATAAGGTTTGTGGAAATGTTTCGCAAACATCCAGTAACTGCCCGAGAGATGATGTCCAAATATAGACAGTTGTATGATTCATTTATAATGCTTTAACCCCTCCATCTTATAAAGTTTTAAATTGTTGATTTGTTTTCAAATCCAAGTGCCAAAAATCAATCAATGTTTTACTCTTACAATTTACCTCCAACCTCCCCTGAAGAGTTAACTTTGTTATCAACTGTTCCCGATTTTGACAACACTACACCCCTCTCAAGAAATATTAACACAATCTTGTAGAAGAATGTTGATAAAGAACAGATAATCTACCTGCTTAGAATAGTAGCATATATCACAGATTCCAAGCCAGATCTTCCCCTTGGTACGTAATATCATACTGGCTTACCAGTATGATTTTTTATAATCCAAGATGAAATAACATCAGTAGAGAAATTCAATATTATTTATGAACAGGAAGGTGTTGTATTATAATTCACAAAGAAATCTGTGTTGTGGTATATCTACTGTATACTTCAGTGATGAAATTTATTTATTTATTTAGAAAAATATATACAACTTAACTTTGAAATAGTACAAGGGTCAGGTTCGAAAAGTTTTGCACGAAAGCTTCTCAAGAGAAGAGATTTTATTATTTTTATGTGAAATCAGCTGATTTGTTCAAGATGTTTGAAGAATAAGTTTACGGTCATTCTTTGACATAACCAAAGAAAACAAGATGCTTGAATAATACAATAATACAAATGTTTAAATTCAAGTTGACAGTTTATGTAAGTTAATCTTGCATGTTCAGTAACATTGATCTTTATGCCTTAATTACTTAAGTTAACTTTACAAAATGATATGGAGTATGGGCCATAGAGTCATTACCGTGGTTACTAGCAACCGTAAAATGTTAAGTAGTAGGTGTATATACATGAAACTTTGACAGTGTGAGGGAATAAGACATGGACACATTCATACCAAACTATGAACAAGATTGGTCCATTATTCTCACAATGAGATATATTTGTGCAAAACTTTTTGAACAACCCTTGAATTTGAGTTGACCCTGATAAGAGTTGATCATGATCTTATTTGACCTTTAGGTCTAACTCGATCTTAGATCTGAGTCAGTTTTAGGTATCAGTCGACCTTTGGATTTAGTTGATTTCAGTAGATTTAGGTCTATCAGAGCTTCTTCAGTTGCCTCATTTCATATTGCAAATTGAATCGTAACCACCAATTTTACTGCGGTAAATTGCATCAAAAGATTGGCCAATTTGGAATAATAGTTTCTGTTCTCATTATTTAACCATAAAGTAGAATAAGTCTGTAAGATAAATGTTACATCCAGGTCAGTGTGATATAACTGTCGAGTTTGGATTAAAAACATAGAAGGATTGATCTTTTGCGTTAATTTGAAATTTAGATTAGGATAAGAGAATTTATGGCTCAAATGAACATTTTTTTGTATGTCTATGTATAAAAATGTAAAAATCAGATAATCAGAAATTGACTTGAATAAAGAAAATTAGAATGATCAATTCACTAATCAAAAGATTTTGAAAAAGGCCTTCACTCATTTAAAACCAATTTGCACCCACTTGAAAATAAGAAAAATCCTTAAAAGAGGGTAATTGTCAAAATTGTGGTCAGAACTGAATTTTGCACTCACTTTGGAAGAATTCCTAAAGCTACGTTCACACCAACGGCGCTTTGATGGCGCTTTAATGCGACGTGCGAAGCGGCTTTGCACGTCGCATTAAAGCGCCATCAAAGTGCAGTTGGTGTGAATGTAGCATTAGGAGAAAACTTGTGGTAATTTAATGGTTGCTGATGGCAAATATATCAAATGCTATCCTTTCATCAAGTCTCTATAAACTCCATAAGAAGCCAACTCTATCTTGCTAGAGTCTCTGCAAGAGAAACAGAATGGAGATGTAACTTTGGAAGCATGAGGTCACATCTCTAATGATCAATCAATGCAATAACGTTGACATTGAAATTGATTATTTTTATAAGGGATTGCTTGTTTCTGCTTCTAGCTTCTCCCATTAGACAGTTACTTATATCATACAGGCAAACCTGTATATATGAACACCTTTGTAATATGAACACCTTTCACTGTGAAAACCTCTCAATATGAACACCTCTCAATGTGAACACTTTCAGTATCAATTTTGTAATCTCCCATTGAGTCCCATGTCATAGAAATCCCTAATGTGAGCATTTGGTATTTTGAACACTTCTGACTGGTCATAATAGTGAACAGATTAGACAGGTTTTACTGTAAGCTAAATTCCAGAGAGATAAGAAAACTTAGTCTGCGTGTATCTATATCGATTATTCAACCAGGACATGGTGGTCTCGACCACGTTTAACTTTTTCCTAATTTTTGGTATTGGTATTCATGGGGGTTGTTTGTTATATTGAATTATAGTACAGCTGTTTTTATGTAAGTTCATTTGTTAAGTTACTGTAATCGTTACAAAAATATGTATGTACTCTAAATGGATATGTTTTTTATTTTTACCTTTTTGCATTTAGATATGATAATATCCCATGTTTAAAGAGGAATTACCAGTACAGCTTTGTTGAAAAATATAAAATTTACTAAGTGTTATTGATTTTTGAGTATATATTGAGATAGTTGTTGGTTAAAAATTGCAGCTTGTTTTTCTAAGGGAAAATATCTCATGTATTTATGTTATTTTCTTATTTGCCCCTAAATTGCTTTTTCATGGTTATGGATGAGAAAGAGGTCGTGTCAATTTCATAGTGTCTGTTTTTGCGAAATTGTTTTCATAAGAATTAGGGGTTTTATGAAGATAAAGTCATACGCAAGTGAGGAAGTAATATAACTTCTATGCTCTGTGGAGTAAAACATACAGAGGAAGGGAGGGGACCCAGTCATCAATTAGTTTTACAAAAAATCAACATTGAGATATTGACCTGGCCCCCAATAGGCTGTGAAGATTGTTTACTTAATCCTATTATTTTTACATTGGGTCGATATACATGTACATGTATATATATATACCAAATATTCCATTCTATTGAGGTGAATACATGTTCATCTTTCCCTCAGTATATTTCCCGCAGCCCGAATACTCCATGGTATATACATCGACGTGGTATATACAGTTGAAAACGAGGCTGCGGCTGGAGACTGCAGGAAACAATGAAATATACCCTAATATTTTTAATCATGTGATCGGTTCTTATCCAATGAGAAAGAGAGAAACATTTCAATGATATAATAAATCACAATATATGTTTATATGAAGGTTTCATTAATTTTCAGTGCACCATACAATAAGAAATACACATTTGACATTAAAATATTATAATGGTATCCAACATATTCTAACTGAGCTTGCACAGTGATAGAAAGATAATGTCAAGAATGCATCTGGATATCTTTTATGATCTAATTCTTATCTATTCTGATCAAAAATTATTCTGAATAAGTATGTTCGATGAACAACGTACAGAGGATAGTAACTGATAAATGAACATTTCTCATCTTCCATAGACTTCATTGTTAATAACTAAGGACTCGACATTCACCTGGAAACTAAAAATATTTTGCCACCCATGAAGCAAATTTAAATTAATTTTTTGCTGCTTAATAAATGGTCAATGGCAGTCACATTGAGTTCGATAAGTATCACTATTCAAACAAGTTACCTTGAAATATCAAGATGTCATACTTATAGAACTCAATGTGACTGTCATTCACAGTTCATTAAGCAGTAGAAAATTAATTTGCTCCATGGGTGACAAAATATTTCAAGTTTCCCGGTGAATGTCGAGTCTCGCATCATACGAATGTAATTTTAGGTGATCTGTCTGCATGGTGTGACTTTATGAGCCTACAATAATATATGCTCTTTCTTTTGTTTACAGGCGTATCAATTAACTATAACAATGGTATCCCACAAATCCTTGTACCTCTACCTAGTAGGCAAGAACGTTGTCAATTCACATTAAAACCGCTAGGGAACACAGTAGGAGATTTCATACAGTATCTCCAGGACGAGGATGGAGGAATTGACAGAGCTGCCATCTATTCAGAAGGTAGGAGATGATATTCATTTTAACACATTAGATTATTCAATTTTTTAGCCATGAAGAATGATCTCAAATGAATACATAGTTTACTTCATCACATGACCAATATTAACCAATCAGGTTGTTGCTAAAATTGCTACTATGGTAACCAGGTTGTTGCTAAAATTGCTACTATGGTAAGGCTTTGTTTAAAAAACCTCCTACCTCATACCCACCTACCCACGTACGTTGGACATGATACAGTCTTTGAAGGGTTCTATTTTAAAGATTTAGTTTATTTAATCTTAGTTTATGATGAATTATAGATGCATTTGTAACGACCCTCAACTACTACAGCGCAGCTGGGTTCGATTTCTACTCGGGCCATCGAATTTAGCACACTTTCTTTCAATTTCTTTATCTGGCTTGTTGGACCTATGCTCGTGGTCGTTAGTTAGTTATTCTCCTGGGGCACCCTCGGGTCATTACACATTACAATGCACCCATATACCTTTATTTATGGTTCTGTCATTCGTGTAGTCATAAAATAAAGCCGGTATTGTAGAAATGTTAATAATTAGAGCTATTTTTAGATTTAAAAATCTTTAAAATTAAACCCTTCAATGACTGTATCATGTCCCACGTAGGTGGGTAGGTGGGTGTGAGGTAGGAGGTTTTTTATACAAAGCCCTATGGTAACCAGGTTGTTGTTAAAATGGCTACTATGATAACCCATTGTGACTTTACCCAGGACAATTTATTTGTTATGTACTGTCACAAGGATGCTCCAGTTAAATACCATGCTACGGTTAAATACCATAATACAATTAAATACCATGCTACGGTTAAATACCATAATACAATTAAATAACATGCTACGGTTAAATACCACAATACAATTAAATACCATGCTACGGTTAAATACCATAATACAATTAAATACCATGCTACGGTTAAATACCATAATACAAATACCATGCTACAGTTAAATACCATACTTTCAACACTTTCAGATGGTCTACGGGTGGCTAAATGTACAGATATTGCAACTCTACTACAATCAAACTTCAGGCTAGAACTCAACGATAGAACATATAGCGTCACCTCACCACCTATAGGTAAGAGGCAGGGAAATTACAATATGTCTCTCGATGAAATAACATTTCATTCATAGCATTGATCTTGTTCCACTTTAGTACACAATAACATGGAGATATGATGGTTTTTGTCTATTAGGGATTTTATGTAATTTTCATCAATGTAATTTTTTTAAATTTTTTATTGAACTCAATGTAACATATTTACAGGTTGTTGTGGCTATGACCCCCAAGAGGGAGTATTAGGTGCCACATAATGTAATGGCCATAATTACCAGTAATTTAGGTTATATCAATATTTACGCATTCTTCTGGAAAATATTTCTATTATGATTAAATGTTGACATACCATATCTCCAATTTTTTCACAAATTTTTCAAAGTTGGAATCCCCTTAATGTAATATTGTATTGCAGGTCCTATAGATCATGATGACTTAGTGCAATTATATGATGTGAAATCTCTGCTGTCAAAACTGCATTCTACATTAAACGTGGAAGAGCACCAACTCCAAAGGGAGCGAGACCTCATTAGCAAGCTAGAAGACCTAAAGGTTGAAATTGAACCTCTAGAAAAGGTATTTTAAAACTTAAAAATGATAATAAAGTACATATATTTTGGGAGGGTGTTCAAACAAATTTGGTTTCATTTTGGATTATTCTCGATGACTTGATTTGAAAATGTTAATTTGCATTTCACTAAAAACGACATTTTTCATTCATGAAGTTTTCATTTATCCATTCCTGAAAATCGTTGTTCTTTGACAATTGTTCGCAATGGGACACTGTCCATTATAAACACTATCCATTATAAACACTATCCATTATAAACACTATCCATTATAAACACAAATCAAATGACTTACTCATTATATTTTACCAGCTTCTTAGTGTTGTTTAGTCAAGGTACAATGAGAGCCCTCTCTTCATGGCTAGATTTATTTTTCAGGCCAAAATTATTAAAAATTCAACTATTTATTGGCTAAATTAATAAATTATAATTAACAAAAATATAATAATGTCAATCGCCCTGAGGCATTACAGACATATTCACCAATAAAGAAAATCCATATCAGGCAGAAACTTGATTGGAAAAAGTGTAAGAGGCAAATTGTTAAATGTGAAACTGTATCATGCACATCGCTCCAAAACGCAACATGTTGACATATATTGTTTTTACATTTTCAAGCTCTAATATAAAGTTTCTGTAAGTAAAAATTTTTTTTTCTGTGTAATATCAAAGAACAATCATTTAGTTAAAAAAAATAAAAAAGTGAGTGTGGGATTTGAACCCGGACCACCCTCGTGCTGAGCGAGCATTCTACCGCAGGGCTCCCAACTTATTATGAATGATGAAAGTAATTAAATGCTACTTATGTTGAATGCTATAATTCGGAAGTGACGTCACATTCTCAATTTAGAAACCTTCCAAAAATCATATCGTCGTCGACAATCGAAGCAATTCAATTAACAATCTTTGTAATAACACATTTATCGTGAGTATTTGTACACAAGATTTGCCCCATTTGTTCATCATTCTATAATCTTTCATTAAGCTCAAAATGATAAAGTTCACCCCCGAAACAACCCAAGATTGCGTTTTGGAGCGATGTGCAGGTTTAAGCAACGCATTTTAGAATTTACATTTATTTCAGTTGTATATTTCCTAATATGATCTTCCTGTTTATATACATTTCCAGTCAAAACTAAATTTAGAACTATATTCTAAAAAGCGGGTCAATCGGCTAGCATGGATGGGTCTAGGAATGATGGGAATCCAGTTTGGATTGTTCGCACGTCTAACTTGGTGGGAGTACTCCTGGGATATTATGGAACCAGTTACATATTTCGCAACATACGCAACATCTATGGCGATGTTCGCATACTACTGTGTCACCAAAGAAGTAAGTATGAGTATTGAATTTGATAAAATGCTACATTAAGTTCTTAAAAACACTTTCATACAAGAGCATTTGAGGATCCTAACCAGAAATTTGGTTACTAAAGCTGTAGATAAATTGCATTCCGTGTCGTATTAAGTTATTTATTTTGCCCTTTTCTAAGCACATTATTCATGATGAAATCCAGATATAAACAAACTTTTATGTGAATAAGTTGGTAGTTGCCTCAAGCTCCTGTACCCCCCCCCCCCTCTACACACCTTCCACAATGATGTGTTGGTGAAGTAGATGGGGGTGAAGGTGAAGGGGGGTACAAGACTAAGAAGTTGGTGCCATCTCGCCACAAAAGCAATTTCATAAAACAATCATCTCCGTTTTTTCTTTTTTAGCCATATGAGTTTCCGATAGTTCGAGATCGTGAGTTTCTGAAGTCATTCCACAAGTCTGCTCGAACCAAACTAGACATTAACAAATACAACCAGCTAAAGACGGCTATATATCAAACAGAGTACGATCTAAAGAGACTACGAGATCCCCTACAGGTCCATTTACCCATTAAGGAATTAGAACCAAAGAAATCACCAGAGGATTTTAAGCCTTTGGTTTAATACAAATAGGATTCGTTTGTGTGTAAAAGTAGTGTTTAGTCCTGTTTTGAAATGTTAAATGAACCAGAACTGTGTTATATTTTCAAGGATATGATCTTAGAAAAAGCCAAATACTCTCCAAGTCTATTTACCCACTAAGGAGTTTAACATTTAGGATATTTGGAGCCCGCAGCGCAAATGAAGTGTGATATAAAGTGGAATTGGGTTATATTTTAAAGAAATGCAATCTTACAGAACAGACAGAAGCTCTCCCAAGGCCTGGTATGATATACTCATTAACAAATTTACAAAGTACGAAAGAAATAATCTAAGGATTCTATACTAAGTTTTCAACATACATAGGATTCTTTTCATGCACACAAATGATCACAATTTTGGAATGTGAAGTGAACTGGAGTTTGGAGTCTTCATAAGGATTTCAATCTTCAAACATCAATATTGAATCGTGGACCAGTTATCATGTTATTTGAAGTCAGCTGGTTTAGATTGTCTATCTAGCTTTTAGCACCATTGAGACACCCACACCACATGCACATTTTGATGATGTTCTCTATTTCATCACTCAATATTACTGAGGCACAGGATTTTATCCATCTATAGTACTCAGGCACAGGATTTTATCGATCAATAATACTGACTTATCACTGAGGCATGGGGATTTTATCAAATTATAATACTGAGGCACAGGATTTTATAGACCTTAAATACCGAGGCACAGAATTTTGTCGATCTGTAATACTGAGGCACAGGATTTTATCGATTTATAATGTTGAGGCACAGGAATTTATTGATCTATGATACTGAGGCACAGGATTTTATCAATCTATAATACTGAGGCACAGGATTTTATTGATCTATAATACTGAGGCACAGGATTTTATCGATCTATAAATCTGAGGCACAGGATTTTATCGATCTATAATACTGAGGCACAGGATTTTATCGATCTATAAATCTGAGGCACAGGATTTTATTGATCTTTAATACTGAGGCACAGGACTAAACATGATGAGAAGTTGGATACAAAAACATACTGAACTGGGTGCGTCATATCAGTTATAGCATAACAGCTTATTTAGTCACTTGCATTTAGCCACTATGGGATAATAGAGCTATAGAGGTTACTTAGTGCAGTAGTGTGCTTTGGAGTCACGAGTTGTCCTCTCAAATGAGCCTTAGTACCTCAATAAAAGCATTGAACCCTGCGGCATATTTTATTCATTCTGCTTATAACATCACTGTGGTCTCCCCAGTATTTTTTTCTCACAGGTTGGGTGCAAAATTCTCATTTTCACAATTTAGACCAAAATTGGTGAAAATATGCCAATTTTTCATATTTTTCTCAATTTCAAGTGGGTGCAAATGGATTTTCAGGAAGGTGGAAGCCTATATTCAAAATCTCAGGTGGGTGCTGCGCCCACTTGCTTTAATGCTGGGAGATCACTGTCACCCCTTCGTTGGGGAAATAAAAAACACTGGAAGATGCTTCCCATGATGCTCTGTTAGTCTGTAGGTCTAGTCTTGTAGTGTTATTTTGTCATATAACCAAGAAGCTGCGAATTCCTATCAACTAGTGGAATATATAAATTTGTTAGAGCCACCATTCTTGTGACTGGCATTCTGCATTTATTTTCTGTTACTAATGATTATTACACTTTTGCGATAGCATGTTGTCATGTTAATGATTTGTTCTGTTTGATTTTGAACAAGTGCAATTGTTCTTAAATATTTCCAAAGTTCGAGATTTTCCAAAAGGCAATATGTTAAACAGGGGCAATAACCAGCAATGGCTTCTGGGAGATGAACTCCTCTTAAGAATCAGAATTGAGATTTTGAGATTGATAAACATGTTCATCAAAATCTGCAAACATTTGAATTATTTTTGATGATTTTATCTCTGCTCATTATAGTGACAGAACTGTAGAACTTCATTCTTGACACCCTGTATTCAAGTACATAGTACTGTATTCAAGTACATAGTACTGTATTCAAGTGCATGGTACTGTATTCAAGTGCATAGTACTGTATTCAAGTGCATAGTACTGTATTCAAGTGCATAGTACTGTATTCAAGTGCATAGTACTGTATTCAAGTGCATAGTACTGTATTCAAGTACATAGTACTGTATTCAAGTACATAGTACTGTATTCAAGTACAGTATTGTATTCAAGTACATAGTACTGTGTTCAAGTGCATGGTACTGTATTCAAGTGCATAGTACTGTATTCAAGTACATAGTACTCTATTCAAGTACAGTATTGTATTCAAGTACATAGTATTGTATTCAAGTGCATAGTACTGTATTCAAGTGCATGGTACTGTATTCAAGTCCATGGTACTGTATTCAAGTACATAGTACTGTATTCACGTACATAGAACTGTACATGTATTCAAGTACATGGTACTGTATTCAAGTGCATGGTACTGTTCAAGTACATAGTACTGTGTTCAAGTATATAACCTACTTGAATTCCTTATGTTAGATTAGAATTACTCATTTGGCATTGGACTTTGCTGGTACATTATGTAAATATATATGGGCTATCAAGAAAGGTTATATAAATTCAAAAATCTTTTCACAAAAACATGAAAACTGAATAATAAAAAGTAGATAATATTAATGATATTTATTTGATATGACTTGCATAGCTTTTTATGTAGATAGAACTATTCACTAGTCAGTTCTCGATTATTTTATATGGTTTAAGTTGTCAGAATTTTGAATCTGAAATCACGAAGATGTATCTTCGTGATTTCATATCAGTTTTTGAAAAGTTTGTTAGATTTTCAATTTATTCATTAAACCACTGGTAAAAATGAATAATGACCAACATTTTGTGCTTCTTTTATTAGACGACATAACATTTTCAAAAAATACAGCTTTTGAACAAAATTGTTTGCATTATGGTGTTCCCTCAATTTTGTTTCTCTTCAACAGATTTCTGCTTTGCATGTATGCTCAATGACAAACTGTACATTAATATTGCATCAAATAAGACTGTATATACAGGGTGGTCCAAAACATTTGTTAATTGAACACAAAACCTTTATTTTTCCTCTAAAATACACCAAAATTTCACTGAGCATAGTTCAGTCACTTATCTCTCTGGTGTTAAGTTTATAGGTGCAAGCCACAAAGTTAATGCATTAAACTAGTCAATGTTTGATACGACCCCCTTTTCTTAAATATACACTTGTTAATTTCGCAGCTACTTTTTCATGTATTCTTTATTTCAAAGCTTTAATGAACATGTGGATTGCTATACACATTTTATAAAATCATATCTAGTTGACATGAGGTATTAACATCTATGGTTTACTGGAAAACTGTTGTGTTATTGTCAACTTAAGAATACCCCAAATCATTAATTTTATTTAAGAGTAGGAAAGAAAGAACATGTTAGAGGTGAGTGGTTGCATAACCCACACAGCTACTAAACTGACAAAATCATTGTTTCCACTTTTCAGTAGAGGGGAAACTGACTAGTTGTTTACAAGGCTTTATAAAGACCACCTCTAAGCACATATAATATATCATTTGTGTTCTGGGAAACTCCTTTATGATATTGATATACATATACTGATATATTCAATGAATATTATTCATATTAGAACAAGAAAGGGGAGGGGGTTCATTTACCAGTCAAAACAGACTGCTCTGGTCTCTTTCTGGAGAATATTCAATCAGTAATATATCCAACTGCAATAGCCACCAAACTATGCTTGATACTCATCAATTTGGGTAAAAATGTTGAATATGTTCATATATTTGATCTTCCTAGGCAAACATATAAGTAGTTTGTTCAAGCTGAATTTTTAATCAAGATGGCTTGGACAAAATCAAACGAACAGCAAAGTGAATGAATCATTTCAAAACTAAGTCCCAGGCTTCAACTTGTAATTCAGGAGAAAAGGGGTCATATCAAACATTCTCCAGTTTAATGCATTAATTTTGTTGTTTGCACCTATAAACTTTACATCAGATAAATAAATAAGTGATTGAACAATACTCAGTAAAATTTTGGTGCATTTTAGAGAAAAAATAACGATTTTGAGTTCAATTATCAAATGTTCCAATTTTTTTTGGACCACCCTGTAGTATTAATGGCATTGAAACCAAGTTGTATGACTGTATGCAGTATAAATGGCATTGAAACCAAGTCATATGACTGTATGCAGTATAAATGACTGTATGCAGTATAAATGGCATTGAAACCAAGTCATATGACTGTATGCAGTATAAATGGCATTGAAACCAAGTTATCCTATGTACAGTTCTTAGTGTTCCTGTTGTAATAAGTTAGAAGTTGAAGTTTTCAAAATGTATATAAATTATAATCTTATACTGTATAAAGTTTATAGACAGTTGCACCAAGCGCACACACAATATTAAGATCAACAGTTTATATCAATCTTTCATTTGTTCCCCTGATCTTTATTTCCAAAACGACTTGAATTGGAATACGAGTGGTGTAGGTGAGGCTAGCTAAAGGCAGGCGAGGCAATTGCCTCAGCAAAACTTTACAGAAACATTCTCACTGATCTTTTTTTGGCTGAAACTGAAAATTATTTCCTATGTATAGTAGCATATGATATCATATTTAGCAGAGATTGCCTCAGCAAAACTTTACAGAAACATTCTCACTGATCTTTTTTTGGCTGAAACTGAAAATTATTTCCTACGTATGGTAGCATATGATATCATATTTAGCGGAGATTTTACCTCACCTATTTTTAGCCTCACCTATTTTGCCTCATCTTATTTTAGATCCTTACTACACCCACCAGAGGTGATCAAATCAATTGTTAACAAAAACAGCACAGGAAAATAAGCTCACCACATAATCTATAGATAGCAATAGGAATTGTTTTAAGAACTATAAAGAATGCTCAGATATATATTTCAGTTGCAATTGTTGTTTTTTTTTCTTAAAATATCAAGCTTATTAACATTGTGCTAAGCTCATGCCTGGTTATTACTTAAGTTATATTTTATGTTTTCACTATAGGGATTTTATAATATCATTTGTTGGGGAAATATTTCTATGCAAAGTATCAGTGTCATGAAACATACATATTTGCTCATTTTCAATCTGAAATTATGTTATAATGGAGCCTGTAGAACTTTACAAGACTTATCTTGAATATATATTTGTATATTGTGGTTTCTATCATATGGTTATCATCAATTAAAATAAAAAGCTTTTCAGCTAGTATTCTGAGTTTGATGTGCATATATATATTGAGATTGGATCAAATAGATCACGGTTAATTTGTTAACTTTGTTTTTTTTTGATATAATAATAAACATCCAAATTCATTGAATAAAAAATAATATCATACTTTATTATTACATTGCATAAACTCTAATAGGGGCTGTGTCATTTGAAAGTCATTTGATGTCCTAAATAGGGTGAAAAGATTAAAGGGACAAAATGTGGATTCCGTATTCATGTTTAGTTATTATTACTCAGGCTGTAGTAAAGTGTGACCCAGAAAAAACAGAACTCACAAATCTATAAATTTTTGGGCTACCCTGTGTATCCATGTTACATTGATATTGAATATGTGTATAATAATATGTAATTGTAAATACTGAAATATGTCACAAAAAGGAGCTGTTAAAGTTTCTTCGTCTCATCAATATTCTCTGTATAATGGACATGAATTTAAAGGAATCCTATGCCCAAAGATTTTTTCTGAATATTTTTTTGTGATACTATAATCATAAGATTTTTCCTGGGGATTTCTCTCACCATTTTTAGCTATTTTCATCTCGTTAAAAGCTCATATTGATGGGAATCTTTGTACCTGTAAGCGCCTCTATTTTTGTTTCTTGCAATTTTTTCACAGAATGAATATACTTGTTTATGATACCATAATCAAAAATGTATCTGATAAGTGAAACCATGAGTCAATGGCTGTTACCAATTGTGAAAATATTTTGGAACAGTACTCCTTTAAATTGATATCTCAGGTTAATGTATTTATTTAAAACTATTAAGAATGTTTTATGAAGTTGGTAAAAAGGTGTTCGTTTATTATTACATTTGTTGTTCAAGTTTGTCCTGGAATTTTGTAACAAAAATCTGTTGAAAAATGTACACTTCTTGTACAATGTAGATGTTTGTTTTTGTGAGATCTTAGAATATATGTTACCATGGTAACCAATAAATATGTATTGAAATACTTCTGATGGTATTCACTCTATTATTTTATATTAAGGATTGTTAATATGAAGAACAAACAAATATAATGTGAATAAATATGTTGAATAATTGCTTTGTTTTGTGTATACACTATACAATATTAGACAATTCTTTAATTAAATAATAATTTTTAAATCATTTCCAAATTTATTTATTTCAATTTCAAATTGACAAATGTTTGTAAAAATGTTAATAGGCATAAAAGCCTAGCAAGATCACTGCTCTTTAAAAATAGCTGTGTGCAGGAATCGAAGATAGCTTCGTGTCAACTTCAAAATAGCTGCGTCAATTTGAAGTTAGCTGTGTTGACTTAAATATAGCTATCTCAATTTGCAGTCTCTTTATTGACTTGACACAATCACAATGACAATGCAAGAACTTCACTCCATTCTGCTTCTCCATTCACTCAATCCTGTTACATTATTAACTTGTGCTACCTCTGGGTTTGAGTTCATGACTCAAAGTTTAACTTGTGCTACCTCTGGGTTTGAGTTAATAATGACTCAAAGTCAGGAAGGCAGACTAGTCTATGTTTAATGTTGCCCAAACTACACATATCTCCAGTTTCACCTGCTATTTGTACAGACACCAAATCCTGAAAGAACAATAAAATATAACTGAAGCAGAAAAAGTTTTAAATCGAGAGTTTCTAATATGACAATATAATCATCAATGGCACAAGAGAAATGAAATTAATGAAAGTGTTAATCTGAGATAAGTTTTACAATTAATAGACTGAAATGGGAATACATGTAATAAGAAAGCATCCACTGACTGAAAATGCACCATAGCACAACTTGAATGTTCTGATTATGTTGCTGGAACACAAAGTTGTTTCTCAAGTGAACTGACAAACCCAGCTTACTTGCATTCAATGCAAAGTTGAAAAAGTGCAAAAGCAACGAGTTTACAATTCTGAGTCCCTCCTTGTTCCCCCTGCTTTAACCAATTTGGAAGCGCCCGATTAAACTGAATCACGGGATCTAATTATGCGCAATGACTTATACACATTTTCTGTCGCAGTGTTGCGACAGCCAATCAGATTGCGAGTTCTCAATCGGGGAAATGCTAACTGCTTATCGCAGGGGGTAAAAAGAAAGAATATATTCTGCATTTTGAAGCCCTGTGATCGGAGGATGTGGAACTATATAATCTTGACCTTGGCAAATATGAATGAGTTTATACCCTATACCAAGTCAGCATCAACTGTTCATTGATATAAAAGCTTTATTTCTTTCCAATATTTACCTGCAGAAATCCACAAGGCGTTCCCATGGATACATCAAGGTTGACATTGCCCAGCAACAGCCTCGTCTTCCCAGACTTTAACACCTGTAGCTTCCCTATGTAACCCTCTGATATATCATTTAATGTGCACTTTTTCATATCCTCCGAGATATCCTGAAACAAGTCAAAAACAAAAGGTGATATGGTTTATCCAAATTATTCAGGATATATTTAATTTCATGTTTTGGCAATGTGAGTCTCAGTTTAGGTGAATTCACCCGAATATTGCACTCCTGGGAAGAAATTCGCCACCTTGACCTAATTAGCTGTTAACTTCTTGAGAACGCATCGTACATGTTTATCAGCTTAAAGGCAGAATCTGATCTATAGGGGGTGACAGAATTACAAGCAACATGAATAATTGACCCACCAATCTATTCCTTACAATATCAAATACAATATCTCCCAAAAGATTCACAAAATGTTATAAATTGGTGAAGTTATTAATGATTCAAAGTGCAAAAATGAGTGAAAAATGTTTAAATTCTCCCAAATAATAAGAATGGTAACCATTCTTATAGAAAAATAATGCATTATTGTAAAAATCTTTATTTTTCCTGGAATTAAGTATACACTTTTGTGATTTTTAGAAAATAGACATGACAAGGAATGACACGAGCCAAAAGTTTTCTAAAATTGAAAAAAAAATTTGTTAAGCCTGCTCGCTATATCTGATTCTCTCTTTAATATACTGTATACAATAAAACCTGTCTTAGCGAACACCCCTCTCTAGTGAACACCTGTGTTTAGTGAACACCACTCCAAAATATATTTTACATTGACTACCGTTTAAAATCCCCTCTGTAGAGAACACTACCTACCCAAAGTGAACACCTTTTTCAGCAAACTGGAATGGTTTTTGGACAAGCCAAAATTTTGAAGGGAATTCTTTATTTCTCAGGTGGATTGACCAGAAAGATTTTAGTTTGAGGATGAAAACAAAGATACTAAAAGGAAGACAACTTTGAATCTAAACATTACAATGAAATACTACATAAGGATAATCTGACTGCATACCCCTGTACAAATTTTTGGGAAAAGCTTTGTGCAGGAATACTTTACTTGATTGAACAGCTATAGGCTACATACTTTTTCAGGTTGGCTGTTTGGAGCTTTATCAGTTGGTTTCTTTGGTCTCTCGTCAGGCTTAGTGAGTGGAGCACCAGGTAGAGAGTCTGGGAGTTGGAGGAATATAAGGTCACCATGCTCTGAAATGTAACCACATATATTATAGCATAATCAATATGATATGACAGCGGTTATTTTTAAGTTCAAGGCATTTCAGGGTTAAAATATATTTCTCAATAACAATTCCTTTGATCAGAACTCATGCTCTTAAATTATGAGATTACCTGATTTTTGAGGTCTCATGAACAGATCTTGGCATGTCATTTTGGAAATGTCCTCTGGAGTATTCGGTCGTACTGTGGGGATACTATCTTCTATAGATGGCACCTCTATCTCCATTGCACTTTCTTCGCTGCCTGGCTCAGCTTTCACTAGAAAATATAAAGATTCCTAGCTAGTATTGTTGTATTTATTGATTGATACATGTATACAGATCTATAAAATAAATCAAAAACATGAAAATTATCAAGCTATTAAGATTCACTAAGACATATTGTAAAACAAGTCAATTTCGCTGACATTTAATTTCACTGAAATTCACTAACCCGATTTTTTCATGTCCCAAATTTATAATCTCAGCATTGAAAATGTTGAAAATGTTGAATAATGCACATATGGTAGTCCTAATACTGTACAAATTATGAGATTTTCAATGAAGATTTTCAGCAATATTTAGTTGTAATTTTTTGGTCACTGTCTAGGTCCCACCCTAATAATATTATTGTTCAGGCATGTGTTCATCCTCCTAAGCAGGTGTCCAGAATCCGTACCTCCTTCTTCTCCCCTGCTATAACCAATTTGGAAGCGCCCGATTTAACTGAATCATGTGATCTAATTGTGCGCAATGACTTACATGATTTCTGTCGCAGTGTTGTGACAGCCAATCAGATTCGAGTTCTTAATCGGGGAAATGCTGACTGCTTATCGCAGGGGGTAAAAAGAAAGAATATATTCTGGATTTTGAAGCCCAGTGATCGGAGGATGGCATGTGTTACCTTTAATCTTTTCTTCTTTTATGTCTTCTTTCTTAACTATGTGAGCAAGAGGTAGCTGTACTGGCCCCATGTTGTTGTCATTTCTTCCATCCTTGTCTGCGACAAACTGAAACAAGTAAATAACACATTTATATATATTTGGAAGACAACGGGGCATTTTGTTCAATTTCGAACAGTTTCGTAGGACTTTTGAAGAAAAATGGTGTACTGTAAAACTCACAATCATTGATTTTCCAAAGAAAGGGTAGGTTTAAAATTCAAATTAACGGTTTTGTGGGGCGTTTTGGTTTCGATACGCCTCGGTGAGTTAGTATGGCGTGACTATATTTTTAAATACTTTAAAGAACAGAAAAAGACTTGTGGATACAGGTTGAAAGTTTTGATAAAATATATTGATTTCTCTGAAGAAATTGTTTGAAAAGATATTATATAAACCAGAGAGATGAACGTACACATATATAGTAAATAACAAACATAAAGTAAATAACACGCATGGGCGTAGCGCCTGGTACGCTGGGTACGCACAGGCGTACCAGATGGCTGCAAATTCGCTCTAAATACAACCATATTTCAAAATTTTCCTGGGGGAGAACACCCAGACACCCCTTAATGCTCTTTTTTGATTCACTCAACTCTTGCTCCTGTGGTGGTGGCGTACTACTTAGAAAAATAGCCCTACGCCCATGACACAAATATAGTAAATAACACACATATAGTAAATAACACACATATAGTAAATAACACACATAAAGTAAGGAACACAAAAAGTGTGTACTTTGCATTTTGTAATACCAGTTTTAAACCCTAGTGAGTAAAAATATTTCATGATGGTGAAGTTGATTCAAATTTTGATAGGAAAATGGCAAAACAAGGCCATAGCATTTCATATAATATAAAATGGCTAGCAACAATTTTTCAATATTTTTACAGCATTCCTTGTTTTACATTTTTTTAAAAGATTTATTTCATGATTATTCTTTAACTTTAAAATTCTCAGAAAATAAATATGAAAGACTGCTTTGCGACAATTTACACTCATTCTCTTTTTATGACGAGTAAGCGGAACAGTAACTGGCAATTGCAAGAGATTCAAATAGTCACAAAACTTATAAATCAATGGAAAAGAATTCTTCAAATTTAATAGACTATCATTCGTACTTACATCATCACGTAACAAGTCATCGATAATGCGTTTTGTTTCTTCACTCTGAGGCCGTTCACATTTCACCTTTGCATTAAATACACCACCTGATCCACCCCCACCCCCTCCGCCTCCTCCTCCGCCCCCACCGCCATCACCTCCTCCCCCATAGCTATAAGATGCCGATGATTCTAAAAGATAAACACATTGTAGTAGTTACAATAGTTACAGTAGAATCTAATCTGAATACAAGTGGCACAAGCCAAAAGTTTTTCAACTTTTTTTCACATTGAAAGTTTTTTTAAATTTGGGAGTCATGGGTTATAACAAAATTGGGATTGTGAAAAAGTGTTTACACTGAGAAGAGTTTGAATATACAGTTTTATTGTATGTCTCATTTAATTTTGTTGTTTTTTCACATTCCCAGAATTTTATGCATTTGGAATCAAATGGTCAAAGGACAAAGAATCAGGTGTCCAAATATAATGTACAGTGAATTCCCCATGTCGCTTTTACTTGCCCCCCCCCCCCCCCTATACTTGACACCAAAGGCCCCCCAGTTGGCATCCTGCACTTCAACTTCTTATTTGAAAAATGAGTGATGTAAGTAGCCACCTGGCGATATCGGGAGCATAGCGAATGCTGATTTTTTCAGACTTGAAAAACTGCACCCAGTTTGAAATTTTTTGGGGGAGAACACTGATGTAATAACAGTAATATGGAAAAATGTAATTCATTTTGCCACTTTTAATCCACACTCTCTATCTCCTCTTAAAACAAAATATCAAAATACTTGAATTCTTCATTCAATAACATTTGACGAGGAAATCAACATTTTCCTGCACCAGACAACTAAAGCCATTCCAAAAAATAATATACAGGGTGTCCAAGAAGTAACGTCAATGACCCTGGCATTTTGTCATTTATGCTTCAAATGTCATGAAACTTGGTCAGAATGTTCCTTGTACATTTATGAATATAAATATGAAGTATGGAGTTACTATCATTTGATTGGCCAGGGTCATTGACGTTACTTCTTGGACACCCTGTATATACATGTATATTGATATTTGGACAGCATTCCGGACACATTTTTAAATAGATCAACAATTAATTCTTTTAATCAATAATTTTAAGTAAAAGTAACAATTCCGAGTTTCTGTGATTTTTAAAAGAATTAAGATCGGACATTAAACTTTTCAATATATTGTACCAGGTCATTTTACTTTTTAACGACATCCTATACATTATGCAAAAAAATAAAAATATTCAACGTACTGTTTATATTAAGTTTCTCCGATGGACCTTGCTCAAAGATGGAATGTGATTGGATAACATCAGGCTCTCGTCTTCCTCTACCACGCCCTCTTTCACCTCTGCCCCTTGGCCCACGTCCCCTAGGTGTCTTCTGGGTATTGGTAGCATTATTACTAGACTCACCAGCAGCTCTGAAAATACATGGTATAATAGTAAATAACGACTGTGGACAATCTTGAACCCTTCTCTGAGAGTCCTTCTATTTTAAATATATATTTATAGGTACTTTTTAGCAATGTTATCCATAGATGCCGGCAAAATTATTTTGTCGTAGGATCAGTAGCTCAATAAATATTCCACAAGATGAGACACCTACTCTTGTTCCGGGGCTCTTGTCTGTCCAAATATCATTGTTACGCTGACGTCACATGTCTGAATTCACGATGGCACCATTCGGACTATTTTGGCCTCTTATCAACCCAAGATGGCCTGATACCATTCATTAGTAACCAGAAAGGTAAAGAATAACAAGACGCTTCGAATGAGGTATGATTTGTCTCATATTTTTCTGAAATTGCACAATCGTCATTTTAAAATTTGAAATTTTCATTGGTGTCTCATCTTGTGGAATATTTATTGAGCTTCTGATTCTACTACTACAAATCAGAATTTTGCTGACATCTGTGATGTTATCAAACTGAAAAGTTCATGATTTTGGTGGTAAATAGACAATGGGATATGGGGAAAGGACTTCATAAACTAACAGTTATTTAGCCGAAACTCTTTATTATATAGCATGCAGACAAAAAGCTAAGGTTTAGAGAGAAAATATTGGATAACTGGATATGTGTAACGTTTTTATATTATCCATTTGTTGGAAGAATGAATCTCACCCTTCTGCTGGTTTCGCTCTCCTTGCAGGGATATTTGGAGTAAATGTCTTCTTTTGGTAGCCTCCTAGAGTTAGATCTCTTGGGGTCCGCATGGAGGGTAGCCTGTAAAATATAACATGTTCAGTTGATAAGATGTAAACTAAAAATTGTAGGTGGCAAAACATTATTACTTCACAGTGATCTCCCCAGGATTTTTTCTCAGGTGGGTGCAAAATTCTCATTTTCACAACTCGACCAAAATTGGCCAAAATATGCCAAGTTTTCATGATTTTTCTCATTTTCAAGTGGGTGCAAATGGATTTTCAAGTGGGTGCAAGTCTATTTTTAAAATCTCAGGTGGGTGCTGTGGCGACTTGCTTTAATGCTAGGGAGATCACTGCTTCATCTATGAGATTTTTTACTGAACTTCAAATAAGTAAAATCAGAAACAAACCTTATATGCATTGAATTTACCCTTAGTGAGCTAAAAATGGCTATGAATTATGGGTACCATTACCTTCCTCCTTTGGCTGCAGGAGCTCCCCTTCTGCCAATAAGTCCTCTCGGTAAGGAGGGTGAGTTATTCCCAGGAGGATCATTAGATGCCATGTTATCTAAAAAATAGAACTTCAATTTCACTTCTTCAAGATACATGCAAAACTTCAATTATTGCTATTTCAATGAGCAATGAATCATATTGTAAAAAATGATTCCAGCCCATGAGTATGTACAACATGGGTGTTCATTTATTATATAGGTATATGTGTCAGTATCTGAATTCCTAAATGAATGATGAGTCATGCACTTGTATTATCACAGATCACATGGACGGCCATCTAAATATGGAAACACCATCCACACCTTGGTGGTGACATAAAAACAGTTGCACATTGCCCTTTGTTAAGTTAGATCCACAGGAGGTGGGCCACTCCCATGGAATCCCTAGAACTGGGTCGACTTTTTGTATTGCATTCTGGGAGTCAATCCTCCTTGGATCATAAACATGGCGATTCATGAAAACATTTGTTCGATTAGGTAGGAATTTATCCATCATTTACAGGTATGAAGCTTTGGATTCATTTATTGTGCTACTTATACTGTAGAGTGAACGGGAATTATTTTTCTACCGCTTAGGGGAGTTTGAGACATGAAACTTAGAATTTAGCTCATTGTGACAACTTTTGATGATTGAGGTTTATTAAATAAAACCCCCAAATAAAAAAAATCCTAAAAGTGGGTCTGGTTTCTGAAACCATAGGCTCACTGTGAAAACCTCTCAGACTGTCAATCAGATAAAGCGGGACAAACTAGCTTATTGCGGAATGGTTCACAGGTCTGAACTCTGAACTCTAGGTCCAGTTTTGGAGAGACAAAAGTTTAGATGTGGGATTGTATGTGGATATTTTGGGGTCATCTCATTGGTCCAAATTCCAATGGTCCAAATCCCATTGGTCTGAATCCAATTCGTCCACATCCCATATTTTGATATAAGATGCGTGAAACGTTGTAAAAAATGCAATACTTCTCCACTGCGATTATTTCTTTTAACAATCAATTTGAATGTTAAAATTAGATAATTTATTATCCAACATACAAAAGCCTCATTTTCATGTTTATCGTATCCCTACACGTATCTGCATACAGATCATTCATATAGATTTGGTTAGTTATGCAGTCTTTCTTTCATGATGTAGTATTTCCCTGCGATTCCTCAAAATATCATATTCAGTCAGACGAATGAGATTTGAACGATTGAGATTTGGACAAATGGAATTCAAACAATTAGGATTCGGACCATTGGGACTGGGATGAATGGGATTAGGACGATATGGATTCAGGCGATTGGAACCTGGATGATTGGGATTCCTTATCTTATTCTTCGGCCACAGTGTTTACTCTTTGTTACAGTGTTAAAAAGGCAAGAACTTAACTTCGACATATAAGTGTTACCTGATGAATGGGACCCTCATGTGCCTTCCAAATAGTAGTATATGAACTCCAATGTAACTACATCAGCTTATCTTTCCGTCCGATTGACAATAAGTACAGTTATACAAGAAATGTAAACGAACTGAAAAAATTCCCAAAAATGTTGAGTGGCTTGTGGTGTCACTACAGTAAATACCACTTCCCTTCCGGGTGTTTTTAATACTTTAAAAACGAAGCCATGCCAACTTCAATGGTGTGTATAGTAGGTTTAAGTGTATGTACTGTGGCCATTTGAGGTATGTATGTAAAGCTGAGGCCAAGTACTTTCTAAATGTGCCATTTTTAGAAAAAACGCAGAAATATAGTCATTGTATGGGCTAATTCGATCGTAAATGGCGATATGTACCCCAGAACTTGAATTTTGTGATTTTTTCAATATTTTTCAATGATTTACCGTAGTGACACCTTGTCATTTCCGGAAGTTATGATACGTTACATGTATGTGTGAAAATGGAATGTTTGTTCGTTCACTTTACGAGAGCATTGAACAAACATTTCATTTTCACACATGTTCGGTAATATAATGTGTCAGAACTTCAGGAAATGACAAGCCACTCTGAACATTTTTGGCAAATTTTTCAGTTTACATTTCTTGTATGCGACTGTACTTATTGTTGGCTATTGTTGATCGGACGGAAAGATAAGCTGATGTAGTTACATTGGAGTCACGGACACCTAATACGTTCTTCGAACGGGAATGATATCAATAACAGGACTGGCATCCAGATCCAAGTATTCTTCAAGACCGTCGACTCTCGTTGGGCTATTTATCCCTATTGACTCAGTTGTTCATATAAATTTACGTACCTTACATGCTTTGTAATCGACGTAGATAGAAAATATTGTTTCCTAAATTGCTCTGAAAAGCGATAATTATGACTAAATGTACTTTGAACAGGTCGACTGACCAAAAAGTCGGACTTCTGGCACAAGGTCACGTGACCTATTCGGGAGGTCACGGGAGGTTACGAGAATTAAATTCAAATTTCCTAAACAATCATCATTTAACCAATCAACGTCGAGATAAAATTGATGACGTCACCGCCATCGGTCAAGGTCAGGTCAAAAGTCATCCATCTTGCCATTTGCCCCGCGGATGCTTACCAGTCGACAAAAAACGATGAAATCACATTAAAAATAAAATATACACTTTAAAATTGAGGCTGATTGAATATGACAAGACTCCATTGAATACAGCTGTGCAATTTACAGTCACCAAGATGAGCTAATTTCGGAGAGATTCGGGAATTAAAAAAGGTAAGCCATTCCGGTTTCCCAACTTCAAGAATTTGAAATCCCAGAATCTCCTTTCGCCAGAAACATTCTCTCTGACTGTGATTGGAGTTCATTTACTACCATTTGGAAGGCACGTGAGGGTCCCATTTATCAGGTAACACTGAATTCGAATCCCAATGGTATGTCCTCGATATTTTGAATCCCTGCTGCACCCCTTTTAAAAAGCGATACCCCCCCCCCCCCCGTTTATCTATCTGTAAAACCATTTTTTAGTCCAGTTTATACAAGTTGCCATTGTGTGTGTCAGCTGCTGATGATACGAGTTCCTCTGGCCAATGGGACCATTTCGTAAAAGTATCCTCCTTGTGATAAGGCTATGTATCCCCAAAAGACAAGCCAGAGAAAAATGAAAACACAATTTTTACTTTTCTTACCGTGTGCGCAACTGTTGCAATAGTTTGCTAGCTCTACTTGAGCAAAGCGAGCAACTTGAATTACAACCGCATTCTCGTATCTTTTTAATTTTTATATTCAAATATAATTAAGAAAAACATATGTGATTCATTGCAAATGCAGCTTGAAAATCAGTTTCCCGTAATACTCCTATGTATTTTTGAGTTTAATACAAAAGTTAATGTTTTATACTGAGGCTTGTGCTTGACCTAGATATGCAAATCAGGGAAGATTTGTTCTATGTTCAAAAAGCAGTGAATCGGCTTTAACTATTAAGCTAAGTGCGTTTATGTATCGCCATCAAGCAATCAGTATATTAAGTTGAGCACAAAATAGAACTTTTGGTATCACTATCATGGATAAAATAAGATGCACGAAGTTGTCATTACTGTTCAAAATATGGGACTATTTTCTAACAAGTGCTCGAATTCATGCATCAGGAAGACGCCAAAATGGAGTATAAATCTGCAATTTTCCTCTGAATTTTCACGGAATATGGACAAAACTTTGGGGTGATTGAGTCAATGGATATGTAATCGCCTTAAAAAGGAATAAATGCATCAGTGGAGTATGGTTGCAAATAGGATATCTGACTGTGAATACATCAAAAAGGTCAACATGACATAGAAATAAAACTAAAACTCAAGTCAAAACTGCAAAAAGTTAAAATATTGCTTGTATCTGTTTCTAAACAGACCCTTGGGTCAGTGAATACCTAAACTTTGGATATGATGGCCAACAAGATTAAGGGCTTGGTGTCAAGGAATAAACGGAGATACCAAGAGGATGGCTTTGATCTAGATTTAACATGTATCCTTTTCAAAGAAGCTGGAGTGATAAAACTGAAGTTACGGCCATTCATCCCATGCCAGGACTATAGTCCTGAGAAGTTAACGTCTCAATCTTTTGCCTGTATGATTACAACATGGGAGAATTTTCTACGCCTCTTACACTTAGACACCTACTTCAATAGATTCCTGGGTATTTTAGCATCCTTTTCGTGTAGTTGAATCCACAATTATCTGCAGAACAGGAACATTTTTCTTTTCATCGAGAGACATTCCATCACTTTTCAAGATGGCGGTTGGATTTAAAAGGGGATTCCCCGTTTGACTGGCCCGGAAGTACCAATAAATGGAGGAATTTGACGGTTGAAATAAGTTAGATATTATACGCAAATATTGCGATCAAAAACAAAAATTTCTTAGTTCTGCCGATAAACCCAGACAATTGTGGATTCAACTACATGAAAAGAATGTTAAAATACCAAGGAATCGATTGAAGTAGGTATCTTGAGTGTAAGAAGCATAGAAAATTGTTGTCCCATGTTGTTATCATACAGGCAAAAGATTGAGATGTTCTCAGGACTATAGTCCTGGCACAGGATAAAGGAAAACCACTAAGGTTTTGTCGAGCTTGTAACTGATCTGTATGAAATCTTGGGTTAGACGGAAGACTTAACATGGTATTTTTGTCTTATGTTTGGGGATCTTGGAGAGGTGGGAGTCTAGTTTTATAGTATCTCTTATCTATGCTCATATTTCATCTATTAATTAAGGACTTGTATAATTTAATGGCAGTTTACTTAAGTGTTCTATAAATGTGTCCCATTGGTTTATAATAGAAAAATTGTTGTTTTAAAATTTCAAATACATGTTGAAATAACCAAACTAATATCAACATTTATTTTCATTGTGTAAATCACCTAAAAATCATCAAGAGATATGTCTCGCTTTCCATAAATATGAGATTTTTACCTGTTACAACCTACTGAATTTTTCGCCATCTATTGACGCAAGACAAAATGATCAAATCAGATGATAATAGATCAAAAGTAATATGTCGTGATATCAGAGCATGTTCCTTTACTGATTTTAATAGTCATGTATATATAACTTTTATTGACACGAGGCACTCAAAGTTTCAAGAACTTGAAATAAGCCTCCAAGTCATTGAAAATAAAAAAAACAATTGCTCCATTTTTATTAAGTTCATTATTGTGACCACCTGCGGAAATTATATGTTCTGCACCATCAGAAATAGAGACAAGTGAGTTGTTTTGACGTTTACACTGAACAATGTTTTCGTTACTTGCCCTTCTTATTCTAAAATGTTTTTGATCATTCAAGGTGGCATTTATGCATTTTTAAGTCTTCTTCTTCAATCTGCTCTGAGATAAACACAGACAAGAAGCCTTATAAGGACTTCTTAAAAAAGGAGGTGAGGTTCACCATATAAGGATATAATAGCCATATATGGAATAAATCAAATTCTGCAAATGCTCTTTTATGGACACAGGGGAAAAATGAACGATGCAGAAAAACATTTATTTATCATATGAATCAATGTTCTGCTTTCTCTGTATTTGAAAATTTGGATATTACACAGAAGTTGGCAATTTATGTTAAAACACCATTCTGATTTTTTGAGTCTCTCTTGGCCATTGTTATCAAGAGCCAATAGCATCTCAAGGGTGAGAAATGCCTGAAGAGATGCTTGATATTCAACTGGTTATATTGCTGAGTCCATCTTGTTCATATTCTAACATCATGTACAGGGTGTCTAATAAATAAGGTGAAAGATACTGTTACTTTCTTAATTTTTTCCCAATCTTGATGGTATTACTACTCCCTGATTCATATAAATTAATATATGATTTTGATGATGTATAGACTTCAATGACCCAAAAATAACTGTCAAGACACTTCATAGGAATTTTGATGGGATTTCAATTTTGATCATACATGAACCATTGAACAGCTTGAAATAAAATGGTAATCCAAGTCAAATAACAATGATTTTGAAGATTAGGTAGCAAACAAATTTAGTAAATGTCTAAATTGGCCATGATTGGTAAACCGGCTATATTCCTATTTTTGGACATTAAATGCTTTTCTGATTTGATATTTGCATTGGCAAACAACCAGTTATTTTCTTAATTAAGATCCATAATATGAGCAATTTTGTGTCTTTTTCCACTATCTTTTGCTAGCTGCAGATTTTAGTTAAAGCAAAACTGTATTGACCGCAAGATTTCTACTGCTTTACATGGCACATGTACTCTAAGATTTTGATTCCATGTCTTTTAAAGAGTGCTTTTGTCATATTACTGCCAGCCTTTGGCTTTTAGGGTACTCCTGAAGCAAAACTGACCTAAGTTAAAGACAAGAAACACACATTACGTGCATTGATAGAATATCTAGATGTCTTTTGTCAACTGTTTGAAACAATTAAATGAAGAATCAAAATCATTGCAGGCTAAAACATTTATAGATATGGAACTTTGTTATAGGTCTTCTGACTTCACTAATGAAATTGTTCTTTATAGAACTAAAATCGCAACTTGATCTTGTAATTTGATCATCATGTGTTTTACTTTCTTGGAGAGTCTAATGAAATATTGAGATTGGTCATATTCACTGAACAAAGTATGCTGAATTCATATATACTCATCTTCCGATCACAGGGCTTCAAAATCCAGAATATCTTCTTTCTTTTTACCCCCTGCTATAAGCAGTTAGCATTTCCCCGATTAAGAACTCGCAATTTGATTCGCTGTCGCAACACTGCGACAGCAATTATGTATATATCATCGGCGCATAATTAGATCACGTGATTCAGTTTGATCGGGCGCTTCCAATTTGGTTATAGCAGGGGGAAGAAGGAGGTATGGATTCTGGACATCTGCTTAGGAGGATGATATATTATATACTTGGAATTAGATGTTACTAATAATTACTCAAAATAGAGCTCTTTTTCTGAAAGCTGGAACCGGAAAATTGGTGGATTAGTTTATGTTTGGCGTATGTCTGTAACTTATTTTAAAAGGGAAACAATAGACTAGTATTTGTTTGTATGGAATTTAATCATTTGAAAGAAATCTTTGGAGTATGAAAAATGGAAAAAATCTAGCTTAGGCATTCTATATGGACAATGTTAGAATATTGCCTGGGTTAATCCATGTCTGGACATTGCTAGATCCCTTCTCAGTTTATTAAATGTTATCAGAAATTGTAATTTTTCTCCAAGATATTTCAAATTTTTCTGGCTTTTTTCCTTCACATGGATGATATATTTAGATCTACTCACTGTTCATGCTGTATCTCAGGCTTTCTCTCTAATTCTTGCTATTTAGAGGAAAATCGTGTTATCAGTTTACTGGTTTTTTTTTGTAAGGGACTTGTTAAACTTGGAGTAAGGGTGAATCAAGGTTACCTCAACCCTATTAAAAATACCATTAAAGTTTCTCGATATCTCTTATATTGAAAATGAGGTACAGATTTTCATGTGAGATTCTAACTAAATTACCATTTATTCTTCACCCTTGATATAACCAAGTTCTTGCTAATTTAACATGTTCTAGACATGCCGTGCAAAAGTGTCATATCTTGTAGACATTCATTGATAGGTATCCTTAGACGACCCTTCTGTTATAAGACCTCATGTGCCAGTGCAGCAGCTCAAAGCCAGGCATTATTAGAAAATGAAATACACTTTGGTGAATTATATTTAATTACATGATTTTTTATTAGATTTGACATTCTATTATTTGTTCTGAAAAGATTGTACATCCTTTGAAATGTATGGTTTAGTCTTCATTAGAGTTATGCTTTAGTCGTAAAGTGCTATGTCAAATGTATGGAAATTTGATGAATAGGTTAGTCACTGCCAGGAACATCAGAATAAACAAGATAGATGTAGAAATAATCTTAATTTCTAATCATTAAATTTTCCAAAATTGAGTTGGTGTCCTAGTCCAAATTCTGCATGAAATAGTTAAATACTTTTATGATTCTAACAAGATAATTTTTTTCATTATAATCTTGCTATTCCTCCCATTGGCTCACATGTTAATTCATCCTCTGTAGGATGGATACCTATTGCCCAAAATATGAATACTAATTGCCCAAAATATGAATACTTATTGCCCAAAATATGAATACTTATTGCCCAAAATGTGAATACTTATTGCCCAAAATTGGTATATTTATTGCCAAAAATATGTACACTTTCCTTATTGCCCAAAATGTGAAATTTCTAATTGTCCAACACATATTGCTCAAAACGTCAACACGTACCATATCTGTACTCCAGACTGTTCATCTTAGAGGGGCTTTGCTGTATTTTGCTTTCATTATAGATTAATCTAATAGAAGTATTTCTTGCGCTGTCCTTAAAGCAAATAGAACCGAGAAATGTAATCTGGAACCAGACACAGTTTGGTGCAAAGCTACAAATAAAATGCACTCCAAGTAAGGAATTGAAAGTCAATTATCTGACAAGATAGCATAAGATATAGGGAGAATGATAGGGAGGGGCATACCTGTTTTAATAGAGCTTCATCTTCTTTGCTAAGATCGTATACGAAGTGTAGAGAGGGGAAGATCTCCCTCTTTAAGGGAGTGGGGTGCCCAAATGTTACCCATCCCTTCATTTGAAGATGGCAGACACTGGTGCATTTTATCATCTGTGAAGCAAAAATCAGTCTGCTGTTTTTCTCAAATACACATATTTCATGTTAGGAAGCTTTCATTGAAAATCACATGTTTTCTGCATGTTGTTATCAGGCATTTGCCACATATGCGGAGTATCTGTGAAACGCACCTTAGAGTTGGGCACACATTAATAACAGGTACACTATGTGGGATCTCTATTATTTTATTGAGCACTTAATGCCCTGGGCGTTAATAAAAGCATAAATGTATTTTACCAAGGAATTATCACTAATTTGATTATGCCAGTTTACCCCATGCACCGGCTAGACTTATCTAGGCATGTAATTTTATAAGCCCTGGATAAATCTGCCTCTG